CATGTTGGATAAGTTGTGCCTGTGGGAATAGTCTTCAATTCCCCAAAGCCCTTGACCTTGAAATATCTCATTAACAAGATCGTGCAGATCTAGGATGGTGACTGCATTAAAATCAACCCAAACTACACACACTGCTTAGTCTCTGCCCTAACTGGACACTGTTAGGAGCATGGGGCATGAAGAGCGTCGACAGCTGTAACTCCTGCTCTTACCCGAGGAAGAGGCCCTTCCAGCGTGCTAATGGCAAAATGGCTGACTAAGAAAATCATAGAACACAGCTTCTGTCTTCAAAGGTACCAGAGCATTCCTCCCCGCTTCTATGGCAGGCATGGAGCCTTTCCAAGTGGCTCACATTTCCTGCTGGCGCCGGTAGTTTTTGTGATTCCTACCGAATCAGGATCAGGAAGATCTTTTAATTGACCACCACTATGCACCGATGTTCCGTTCTATAGATTGGCTATATGGAACATGTGTCATAAATAAAAATTAAAAATATCGTTGTGTAAATATGTGTATGTGCAAGGGTGACAATAACTTTCAAATTTCTTTTTCACAAGCTGGAAATTCCCCCACTTAAAGGAAACGGGAAGATGTTTCTTATTATTGTCAAGGGGCGGGAATGAAAAAGCCCTGCTCACATTTGTGAGAGACAAGATCCTGTCTGGAGCATATTTCATTCCACAGTCACCTTTTTTGAAGGTCTGTGGCTCTTTTGAGTCTTCTTAGGCTTCTCTTCCCACTTGTACTTGTTCCATGAGCCAATTCCTCTAATTGCTCGCCATCTCAGAGCACACGGAGAGCCTTTACACTTGCAGAATCTTTGCTCCGTGTTTGTCTTACATCAGCTCTGCTGCTCTTGTCCTAAGCATCACCTCAGATGGTGAGCTAGAGAATACTAACTTCCTCTGATACTAGTTATCTCTCTCTCTCCCTCCCTCCCTCCCTCCCTCCCTCCCTCCCTCCCTCCCTCCCTCTCTTTCCTTCTGGTTTAGTGCTAGAAGATGTTTAGCTAGGCACAAAGCTGCCCAGTAGAGACTATACTTGGCCAATATGGTTTATAAGTAGCCTTAAATCGAAGGCTGTGTTCTTTTTTGCCACCACTTCCTGTTCTGCTGGCTAGGAAAGGGGTGTGATTATTGGAGCCTAAACAGCTATTATGGATCATAAAGTAGAAGTCGCTTGTTCAGTAGATGAAGTCATAAGACAGGAGTTCCTGCCTATCAGATGTCTGCCATACTCACTCTGGACTGACTGCACGTGTGTGAGATGTAGGTATTTTATTTGGTTTGATTTATGTGCTTTTTCTTTTTTTTTCTCTTTTTTTTAAAAAAAATTATTTTATTGGTGTTTTAGCCTGTATGTATATCTGTGTGAGGGTGCTGGATCCTGGAGTTACAGACAGTTGTGAGCTGCCATGTGGGTGCTGGGAATTGAACCCAGGTTCTCTAGAAGAGCAGTCAGTGTTCTTAACCACTGAGCTATCTCTCCAGCCCCTATGTGCTTTTTCTTACAAGGAAAAAAAAATACCTTTTCCCACCTTTAATACAGGATTTAAAAAAATGTAGCTTAGGCTGTCCTTGAACTCACAATTCTCTTGCCTTAGCCTCGAGAGTGCTGGTATTACAAGCACACAGCACTTTGCTTGGCTCGTAAAAAACATAACAGGCCAGTAAGATGGCCCAGTAGCCGAAGGTGCTTGCCACAAAACTGATGCCCCGAGTTCAATCCCTGAAACCCACACTGTGAAAGGAGAGACCAGACTCCTGAAAGGTGTCCTCTGACCTCCACACATGTCACAGCACACACCACTCCACTTCTATAAATAAAGATGTAAAACAATATTAAAAGGCTATGTTCTGGTGGCCAGTAACAGGAATCCACTCAAAGCGGTACCAAACAAAATTGGGGAATTATTTTAAATATCTGGAGGGTGTAAGGAAATCAAATTCGGTGAAACCAGGAAGTGCTCTCACTGTGGCACAGAGTAAATATGTATTTTCCTAATGTATGACTCAGAGAAAGAGAGAGGCTAATTACCAACATTTTTTTTTAATGAATGGAACTTGTTAAAGTGATTATTTTTTCAGGAAATCACACAGTTTAGAACCTAAGGTCTTTGTTAAGCCTTTCAGCCTTCCTGATTTCTCATTTCCATTTTCTCACACCAGGGAAGTGTTCTCAAATGCAGACTTGTCTATATTTGGTCTAAAGAAGAAGGTTGTAGACACAGCTCTGTGTATGCGTTCAGCTTCCAGCTGTTACAGGAGTTTCCAGAACACATTTCTTTCTTGTCCTCTTGACTCTAAAGCCAGAACCATGTGGCCGAAGCTGCCATTTACTTCCTGGAAATGGAACATGGCCCCCTCAGTCAAATACATTTTCCCTCACTGCTTAAACTTGGCTGTCCTGGAACTCACCCTGTAGACCAGGCTGGTCTGGAACTCAGAGCTCTGCCTGCCTTTGCCACCTAAGTGCTGGGATTAACAGCATGAACCACCACCACTGCTTGGCCTAAGCTTTTCTCTAAATCCTTTCCAAAAGTTGGAAGCTTGTATGGGTGGGGTTTTACACCAATGTCACCACTTTCTTTATTTCATTCAGGATAAGATTTTTCTTTAAATTTTTTTTATCTCCTTGAGCATTGAACTTGACTCTATTATACTTCCTGGTGTTACTTTTCTCCCAAACTGGACATTTTGTATTTTTCCTTGCTTAGCTTTCTCCTTTTCATTATAGATCTGCCTAAGAGTAGCCACTAATAACCAAGCGACACAGTCAATACTAAGCTGTTTTGAAATCTCCTCTGCCAATGGTATTAATCTAAAATTCTTCATTTTAGCCTCAGGCAATTTTTTGGACAAAGGTCACATTTCCCATCAAAATGTCATGAAAACCGATTTCTAGGCCACTTACTAATACTCTTTTCCTCTGGAACCTCTTGAGCCAGGATGTTATAATCTACATGGCTTTAGCACCACTGTCTTCCGTGCTCCTACTAGGATGGCCCACTAAGCCCTGCTTAAAGCATTCAACTGCTTTCCTGATCCAAAGTCCCAAAGTCTTCATCCCACCAAGAAACATGGTCAGGCCTGTCAATACCCTACTCCTGGCACCAACTTCTGTTCTAGTCTGTGTTCTGTTGCTATGAAGAGACATCATTACCATGGCAACTCTTATAAAAGAAAATATTGAAATGGGGCAGGCTCACAGCTTCAGAGGTTTAGTCCATTGCTGTTAAGGCAGGGAGTCTGGTGGCATGCAGGCTGATATGGTGCTGGAGAAGAAGTAGCTGAGAGTTCTAAATCTGGATCCACAGGCAGCAGGAAGAGAGAGACACAGGACCTAGGTTGGGCTCTTGAAATCACAAAACCTACCCTCAGGGACGCACGTTTTCTATCAAGGCCACATTCACCCCAACAAGGCCACACCTCCTAAGCCCTGTCAAGTAGCACTACTTCCTAATGACTAAGCATTCGAATCTGTGAGCCTATGGGGCCATTCCTACTGCATTCAAACCGCAATAGGATTCCTACTCATTTTCAAACTGTGCTAGAGTTTGCTGTCCAAGACTGTAGAGTCTTGTAGCCAGTTGATATGCAAGTAGGTCACTGTGAGATTCAAACAGACCGGTATTCCTGTTTTCTGTAGACCCATGATCCATGATGTCTTGAGTCTTATACTGAGTAAACTAGAGAGCTCGTCTTCCAAAGAGTGCACTCTGCTTGTGTGTCATGTCCTCTTCCTACCTTTACAGAGTTCTCTGGCACCAGGCCGTGTGCTTACTCTAAGACACAGTCTAAAGAGAAAAGAGAGGCAACTCCAGTAACGGTTGGTGTGGAACGTGCAAGAGTTAAACTTTTATGGGACACAGGGAAGGACAGTGAACCAGTAATAGGGTTAGGGAATGGTTCACAAAGGAACTGGAGTCTGGGTTAAGTAGTGAAAGACTACACGGGATAAAAGTGTGTGTGTGTGTGTGTGTGTGTTTCTATCTAGCAGGTGCAGAGATGGAAAGCAATAAACAGATAAAGACACAACATAAGGGAGGATGAGGAGTCTAGGAATGATGAAGGCTTCATCTGAGCAGAAAAGTGAAGAATTCTTCGGGAATTAGAATAAATAAGAATTGGTAATATATCGGAGATGAATTATTAAACAGTAAATGACTTTCTAGGTTTCTGTTGGATTGTAGGAGGGCTACGTTCCCCGACACTCTGTTGTGCATTCCACTGATCTCATATATTAAACCACTAAAACTCTGAAAACCTCCGTGAGGTAGACCTTCTTGCAACTGTCTTTTAGTGAGAGGGCTGGTGTGTCTGCAGATGAACGCGCTCAAGGTCACAGAGGTCAGTAGGTGGCTGGTCGCAGGAGCCACACACACAACCTACTTTTTGTTATCACCTCCTAGATATACTCGACCCAGAAAGACAGCCCCTTTTTCTGAGTATCACAGCATTGACCGATTACGGGGAATGATTGCCCCCCTCCCCTTCTATCGGAGCTTGATTCCGTCTGTTCTTTGGCTTTTCCAACTTGAAAGACCGAGTGTGGGAAGTTTGATAAACAAAACAAAACAATAAAAACAGTTTCCATACACATGAGAGAAGGCCGACACAGGAACGACCTTCTCTGAAAACTGCTAGAAAGGACCTGGGTTTAACGGCAACCCCCACCGCACACTCCCGGGTTCAGCTTCAGGTATTCATGGACGCCGAATCTCAGGTCGGTTCTGCTCGTCCTTAACTCAGACCCTCAAAGCCTCTTTCCATTCCAGGAGGGCTCAGCATCCTCCAAGTTAGCCCCAGGGGGACCCAGCTTGAGCAATTCCCAGGGAAACGGCCCTTAGATGACCCAGGACTCCGTACGGGGCAGCCTGCACCGAGCCTCTCCTGGCGCCAGGGGGCGCCGCAGCGCTCGAGCCCCTCGTTTCCCCCCCCCCCCGGCCCCGCCTCTAGTCCCGCCCCCTCTCCCGGGGGACGGCTGCTCCCGGCTCCCCGCCCGGTGCTCTGCGCAGGCGCGGTCGGCTCTGCCTCCACGGCTCCCATCGCAGTGCACCCGGAGTGGAGCGGGGTCGATCCGCCGCCGTCCACCTCGTCTCCGGAGCTGGGAGGGGGACGGGGCCTCTCTCCCTTGCGACTCTGCGAGCGAGCGCCGCTGAGCGCGGGCGGTGGCCGCGGCGGGTCCGGCAGGTGAGTGGCGGCGGCGGGAGGGAGAGGCTCCAGCGGTGTGAGCACCGCCCCCCTTCGGCGCTTCGCTCGCTCGCTCGTTCGCTCGCTGGTTCCGCCGGCCCGGAGCGCGGCCGGGCTGGTGCGGAAGGCGGCGGGGAGGGTGCGGATGTGGCCCGCCGACTGCGGAGCCCCGGGGACCCGGAGGGCGGCGGCTCCGGCTCGGCAGGTTACTCATTAACTCCGCGGGCCGAGCGGTCCCCGCCGCTCACCTGGCTGCCCGGCGCGGCCTGGGTCACGGAGTTGCCGAAGTCGCCGGCGGCGCGGTTGGCCGGCGATGTGTGGGGGTCGTCGACCCGAGAGCGGGTGCCCGGGTTCTTGTCCACGATCGGCCAGGCTTCTCTTCGGACGCAGGAGTGGTGAACCGGCTTCTTTTCCCCCCATCCCCTGCATGAGCCGCTCGCCCCGCCGTGCTCGCCCCACCGCCCGCCGAGAAGCAGCTTGGAGGCTGGGGAGGGATGGAGCCGGGTGGACGCTGCAGCACGCCAAGAGTTGCCGGTTGTTGGAGATTAAAACATTGATCCGTAATGGCTGGTTGGAGCACTCGGCACCGAGTTAGAACGGATGCCCCAGAGGCACTTTAGTTTCAAGGAAACGTCTGTTCCCAACCTACCTGTTTATACACTTCCTCAGTGTCCCCCCCGAGTCAAGGAAAGAGCCTTGTGACCCCCCCCCGTGGAATGATTGCATAATTGGAGGAGAGGCCGATAAGAGGATTAAAACAAACTGTTCTAGTGTATATCGTTTGAAAGACCCAGTCTCTGTTTATTATACTGTTAAGTTTTTGTTTTTAAACAATGAATGACAAATCGCGAGGGAAAGAGGAGGCGGAATCGGTATGCAGCCCATCATTGTAAATATTTGGTACAGTTAAATATTTCACCAGTTTTATGGGGCCTTGTTCTGTTAGCATGTGTTATTTATTTACTAGGGCTGTGCATTTTGAGAGGACTTTTCATGTTTGGATAGACACTGCGTTCTGAACCTGGCTTGTGTGAATCTTAGTCCTTAAAGGCCGTAGTGAACGTATCCCAGGACCTTAACAATTACACGAAGTTACTCAGTGATGCATTCTAACTATAAGAGCAAACATCTTTAAACTTTTTTTTTTTCTCTTTCCAGTCTGGCGAGGTTTTGAATTAATGCATACTTTTGTGAGTGAGTGTGTCTGGTGGAATGCTTCCTTGCTCCCTTCTCGTAGCAGCCGCTCACCAGTGATTTCCAGTACATCCAAACCTCCCACGATCTGTTTGCTGTTCGCCTGCTTTATGGAGATCTGATTAGTGATTGTCTCTGTTTAAATCTAGCTGTCCTTCTGAATCAGTCTAGTTCTATGCTTTTAAAAATAATTCTTTACCTCGGATTTTCTTTAAGCCCCTACTCTGCTGCGCACATGGTTGCCCCCCAGATACTTTTAAAAATGGAAACGTTCCTAGGAGGAGCCCATCTCTCGTTTTTATGCTGTGGCACAGTAGAAACTTAGAGTCTTGCATGTGTTGCAGGGATTAGATTGGCTTTTCTTCTGTGCTGAGGTGATCTTGCTGAGCAGCTTCCTTAGCTGAAAGGGCTGACTTTCACGCCGCCTCCCCAAGCATGTGACCTTGAGTAACTGATGTATTGGGCACACTGTGTAGAAACATTTTAAAATGCCAGTGTTTGGTCCTTCTCTGTGCCTCAGCCCAACATGAACTTTATCAAGGTGGGATATGGGTTTAACTAGACATTCCATTGAGATGTGGGGGAGGGGATGAGGAACGAACTTTAGCTTGACCGCAGACTGGGCGCTGTGCCTGTCGTTTGAGGCTACCCTTGGCTCATTAGTCCTAAGGACATTCTTAGGTTATAGGTGCTTTATCAGACTTTACAAATACGGAAACCGAAGTGCAGAGAGTCAAAATGACTTGCCTGTAGTACTTAGTTCTCATTTATAACTGGCTGATATCAAAGCCAGGCTTTAAAGAAAACTGTGGGAACTCCAAGTGGAGCTTTAAACTCTGTTGCTCTTTGTTACTGGTCTTTCTAAAAAAGAGCTTTGCGTTTAAGCTGGGGAGGGGCATGCAGGTGAAAGGTGTTGTTATTTGTGTGTCTGATTAAAAATGACCCAGGCGTTCTGATGATGGTAATATCGCTGTTGCTACTATTACTAAGTCCCTGGTTCTTGAGTGGCAAGTCCTGATCCCAGCTCACTCCAGCTCACTCCCCCCCCCCCCCCCCCCC